AGAAAACACTTATTAAAACCACAAACTTTATAAATCATGAGCTTATAAATTTGTCACGTTAAAATTTGTATCAAGACTGTCAAAATGACTTTCCTGTATATGTTTATATTAGGTGGTTTTCCCACCAAACTTAAGCTGTTTTGGAGTGGACAAAGGTTCTACTTCTCTCTGTAGTAGACCTAAGAAGTAAATGGTATCACTAAACTGGAGACACAAGATAAATTAGTTACTAAGATTGTAGATTAGATTACAGTGAGCTGTATATTTTTCCCAGTAAAGTAATTCCAGTGCTAAGGTACTAAGAGAAAAGATAGGTGAGACTTATTTTCCCTTGGACAAACATAACCCAGAGATACAAGCAGACAATGTTCGTATACATTGTTGATACTATTCTATGTACCAGAAATGGAAAGCAACCCTTACTTTTTTATGAAAACTATTCCCCAGACTCATATATATGTAGCCCCCTATATTTCTCCAATAAAACATGTTGGCTCCATTGCAAATCCTTTCAAATTGACACTGTTTTGCCCTGGAAAATGCACTTCAGGAACTCAGGGTTCATATAAACAAAGCCAAAAATGAGATCAACAATATGTGTGTGGGGGGGGGGGTACTCCCTATAACAGTAGTTATGCCCTCTCAAATCTGTGAAAGGTGAACAGAAATATCAGTGGTCCCAGATTCATGAAGACTGTACCAATTGCCTTCCCTTTTATAGATCTCAATGAAGCTGCTCTGGTGGAAACTGCATGCCTTAGAACAGATGGAAGTATCTCGCCTAGGAATGTGTGTGTTTATCTATGTGTATGTGTGACCATGTGTTCTAGCATGTCTAATGGGCCTTTGGGTTGGAAATGTTTGGCTGGTCAATGTAACACAAATATTTTCGTCACTCATGATCTCTTAGCCTCCTCTAGGATTTTGAGCATTTCTCAAATCCATCTTTTCTCCTGCTCTCCCCCATCCAGGCTAGAAGAAATTTGCAATCAGAAATAGTTTTCCCTTCATTGACTTGCTGGAGGGCAACAGAGTTTGATTCATAGGGCAGGGTCTGAGCCATAGGAGGCAAAGTGGTTACTAGATTCCCAGCTGGCTGGTTCTGTAAAAGTAGGAAAATCCTGATTCCAGATGGGAGACTTTTGAATATACAGTTCTTTGAACAAACACAATGTGTGAGGATTAGATTTTGTTTCTGAAAAACAGGTTTTATTTTTCTTTCTAGCTTGTTCCAGAATAGTCTCATGATGGTAAGACACAGTGAAGCATCATTCTCTAAAATGCCATGGTGATTTCCCTGAGGTAGGCTGTCAGAAAACTGGAGCACATTGCAGTAACACAGCCACCTTGGAAAGTTCTCTTTGTATCTGGAGATCTCTCAGGTGGAGTCAGCAGTCCCCACTGCAAAATAGCCTCCTGGTGAAAGCAAGTCATGTGGCTCTTGAACATATTAGCCAGTACACAAGTTGTCTGTCTTTCTTTTAATAGGAGGGTATAAATTTGAACTGTATGAAATTATTCACACCCTAGTCAATACTGGGTTTTTCAAGTGGAAACTTCTTCTCCAAGGAACCTTAAAGGACAGGTTGTTTTCTTGGTAAATCAGACTTTCTCAAGACCTCAAATTAATAAAAACTTGTTTGCCTTTTAATTGTTTTAATTTTTATTGTTTTTATTGTGCTATAAATTTTTCTCTGCTCCCCTCCCTTCCTCCCTTCTCCCCTCCACCCTCTTCCTTGACCTCCACACTTCCAGTTTACTCAGGAGGTCTTGCCTTTTTCTTCTTTCCATTTAGATTTATGTTTGTTATAATATGTACTCACTTATAAGTGTTTTTAGACATAAAGTAAAGAAAAACTAGACTAAAATTTACACCCAGGAGAACCTAGACAACTAAGAGGATCCTAAAAATGTGTTTGCTATCTGATTTTTTTCCCTGTGAATTCAGTTAAAGAGTTAATCATATCCAATACAGTACATAGAGATCTGTTTATTTTATCTTTTGGTGCATTTTTCAATCAGGAGAGCAGGGATAGAGCATGAATACAATTCAAGTAAAATCACTCAGAATAAATATTTTTTCTAGAAATTTTTCCTAGGACTGGGAAGTGAAAAAGCATTTCAAGAGACTCAAGCTACTGGGTTTACAGGATTCCTCCACTTTGTAGACATTGGACACTTGGAGTTTTTATGTTTTTCGTCCCTGGGGCGGAACACATCCTTATTCAGTGTGAGCAATCTTTTGGTTCCAGGAATCACAGCCTCTGATAGCAATGGACAAAGTCATCTGGGACCTGTGTCAAAATGCTGCCACTTGCATGGGGTGAGGGACTGGAGATAAGGCCTGACTTGTATTCCTATAAGGACATCACATACAGAAATGATGTAAAAAAAAGAGTACTTGCTTATGAAATTGTCAACAATTAAAAAAATTAACAAAAGAAATAGAGAACATATGGACCCACAGGGAGACACCACTGCAGGACATACACGAAAAAAGAATTCATCATAACTAAACATTGAAAGACATGGAGAAAGAGCTGATGGAGCTTTCACAACTTGTCAGCATTGTAGACTCCAAAACTTCTGTTTCTGCTGGCCTGGTCTGTAAATTATTTTAAAAGTCATGCTGAATTAATATGAGGACCATCTGTTTCAGTGTACATAAATCAAGAACTATTTGTGTGCTTGTTATTGAGTCCATAAGACCAGCGAATACCTGAAGGATTCCTCACACATCACACCTTGGAGCTTGCTGCAGTCTCAGTCAAGACTGCAGTCTCTTTTCAGTGATGTTGTTTGCTCTGAGGTCTTCTAAATCCTCACTTCATAGGTGATATTTTTCTTTAGTGATGCAGTAATCTCTTTCACACTTTCCCTACAGTGAAGAAGGTCAGGGAAATGGCACCAATTGTATGATGTGTAGTGGAATTAGTATAGGGTAAAGATGACTTTTCCCTGTATGTCACTCTCATACCAACTCACAGGTGAGCATGGCCCTCCTCCTGATCTTATCTTATATGATGTTTAACTATAATTAAGAATGTTGGTAACTCATATCCTGGTATTCTGGCTATACAGGGTCTGCAGAATTAAAAATAGTTATGGTAATTACCTGAGAGATCTTCCAGGGCAAAACAACCATACCATACAGCCAATCAAGCCAAGGGGCATGGGCTTATCCAATTTCCATATAGCTACGGAGAGTTGTCACTCTGTCTGTAAAAATTCATACTGAGAAAATCTTCCTGAATTCTCGGGAAAGGACAAATTACAAATAATGTAATGTACAGTAGAGGAAACAGTGATCTGCACTCAAGAAGGAGCTTGGTTTGAATTTCCAACCAATGGCCCAATTGCATTATTTATCTCAACAAAACAATTCACAAAATTTAAAGTAATTTTAAATTACTTTATTTAATTATATAATTAATTTAAATTAATTATAATGAACAATAAAAGGAGGTTCATAGTAATGCATTATGAAAATAACAGTTGCATAGGTTAATAAACTTCCTATTGTCAGATAAAAGAGAAAACATACACAGTTACAAAGGAGAAACCAAAGAGAGCTGAATGGAAATATGATGGCATGTTGCTAACAAATTTTAAATATAAAATTGAGCAACAAAATGAAGAATAGAATTGATAATGATATGGAGTGTTTTATAACTTATCCTGTAATGTTTGAGAAAAATATCTAGTTATACCATAAGAAAAGGCAGGGGGAAAATTCTTCAACAACTTTCTAATAGCAGCAGTTTGGATAAAGACAGGTTGGATATGAAATTTAATTAGCATGCTACAAAGAAAATACTCTGTGGTAAAGACCACTTTTAGAAAACAAAATAGACCCCAACTGAAAATGAGAACATAATTCTATTAATTCTACAATAAAATTAAGTAATTTGCTATCATCTGCAAATTTCAGTTGTATTATAATCATGGCCATTCATTGGTTACTAGCAGTGATTGATAACATTTCCTAAAAGTGAGAAGATATAAGCCCAAGTTCATAGAACATGCTGTAAAAGGATTTGACTGTGGAAATCTCAGATACATGACGCAGCATATGCTTGTCAAAGCATTTTGTATTTGTGTTAAAAGTTGTAGAAATCCCATGGCACTTTTTGTAGAACTTTTGTTAACAGGGATAGAATCTTTAAGAACTGGGCAGATGGCTCATTTGCTAAAGGGCTTTCCTCCAGAGCTTGAGAAACAAAGTTGTGATTGCCCTGAATCCAAGTATAAAGCCAAGTGAGAGGGCACATTTCTAAATTCCCAGCAATAATGATCTGGGAGATGGAGATACCTGTATCTCTGGAGTTGCAAGCCAACTATTTTCTCAACATGATGATTTCAGATAAATGAGATACCTCATCTTAAATACAAGGTGGAAATAGACATTGACTACCAACTGTCCATGATTTACCATGCATGTAAAAAATCACACAAAAAAACCACATCAATACACATTGATTCAAACATACATCTAAAAAACAAAACAATTTTAGTTGTGTAAAGCTCGAAGTAGTCCCCATTTTGAAATAAAAAATAGGAATTTTAGTCAGTTTTTATTGGCCTGATTTAGATAAGGCTGCAGGAATTTCATCTTATCCAAAAAATGACCTCTTTATAACAAAATCATATCTAGTTTATAACCAGTAGTTACAATATGATCAGGGGTCCATTAGTGAAAATAAGAGATAAAGATATGAGGCATCTTTGTGTTTGCAAAAAAATCAGTTACCATGATCACAATCATATTGAAATTCATGTAATTGCAAAACTCTAAAATAGGGATTGACATCATAGTTATGCTTTATCAACTGTTAGTCCAAGTCACACTATCAATGCCTCACATCATACTACCTGGCAGAACTCCCAAAGAGGAGTCAAGGATGCAGTGTTTCCTACTTTGTCAAAGGTGAGGTCACCCAAGATGCAGATCAAAGGTATCATTCTTCTGCTGAGGCTTATAAAGGCAGAAACCCCACTGCATGCAGCACAGACTTGAAAGAAACTCCAGACTCCAAGATGCTAGTCGTCCTGTTCACAGCGGCCTTGCTGGCCCTGAACTCTGTTCAGCGTGTCAGTGAAGGTAAGAAAGCATGACAGCTTGTTCAGTGAATCTGCTTGTCGGTAGCAGATCATATGTCACTCCAGAATGATGCAGGGAGAGAGAAGAAGACTAGCAAAAAGACAGGACTGTAGCATCAGTACCAAGGAAATGCATTTCAATCCTCATCCCAAACCAAGGATATGGATACCATCATGTACAATAGAAACTTGGTTAAGTATATGAACGATGAAAAGGTTAGATAGATGTCTAGATTCACCTTTCTGTGTTATGAAGAATAAACCAGGAAAGCTCACAAAGGGAAAAAAATCCAGCTGTGAATATCCTTTAATGAAGTAGTCAGTGGACAACAGTCATCTTGCCTCAGAGAATGTAGAACAGAAGAAAGAATGTAGGGCCATTTTGGGGTAAGATAGTCAAATAACCAATTTGAAAATCCTATAATTTTGCTTCTCTCTTGACCATGGAGACAATGCCTAGAAAACTAGTTGTTTGAGATTTCTAATACTAGTTCCAAGCATCAAGATATGATGTTTGATACCATCAATACATAGATTAAGGAAAAATTTCTTTAAAAAGTAAGTGGGAGAGATTATGATGACAATTGGCAAATTGTTAAAAGGAACTGTGTAATAGCCATCGAGTTCTTAATTAAAGGAAAAAGGACATTTATCTCATCATGAAATTTCTCTTTTTTTGCTATGTACCAAAAATAATCTTTAGTCTGCATCTCAAAACCTAATCATGGATACTTTGTTGCAGCATTCCCCCAAGGTCTCTCTCCCAACCAAGGTTTCAGTCTTAAGCAAGGCCCACCCCAGCAAGGGCCACCCCAACAAGGAGGCCAACAGCAGAACCAAGGCCCTCAGCCAGGACACCAGCAAGGCCCACCCCAACAGGGAGGTCAACAGCAGAAACAAGGCCCTCAGCCAGGAAGACCCCAACAAGGAGGCCAACAGCAGAACCAAGGCCCTCAGCCAGGACACCAGCAAGGCCCACCCCAACAGGGAGGTCAACAGCAGAAACAAGGCCCTCAGCCAGGAAGACCCCAACAAGGAGGCCAACAGCAGAACCAAGGCCCTCAGCAAGGAAAGAAGCAGGGCCCACCCCAACAAGGAGGCCAACAGCAGAACCAACGCCCTCAGCAAGGAAACCAGCAAGGCCCACAACAACAAGGAGGCCAACAGCAGAACCAACGCCCTCAGCCAGGAAACCAGCAAGGCCCACCCCAACAGGGAGGTCAACAGCAGAAACAAGGCCCTCAGCCAGGAAGACCCCAACAAGGAGGCCAACAGCAGAACCAAGGCCCTCAGCAAGGAAAGAAGCAGGGCCCACCCCAACAAGGAGGCCAACAGCAGAACCAACGCCCTCAGCAAGGAAACCAGCAAGGCCCACAACAACAAGGAGGCCAACAGCAGAACCAACGCCCTCAGCAAGGAAACCAGCAAGGCCCACCCCAACAAGGAGGCCAACAGCAGAACCAACGCCCTCAGCGAGGAAACCAGCAGGGCCCACCCCAACAAGGAGGCCAACAGCAGAACCAACACCCTCAGCAAGGAAACCAGCAAGGCCCACCCCAACAAGGAGGCCAACAGCAGAACCAACGCCCTCAGCAAGGAAACCAGCAAGGCCCACCCCAACAAGGAGGCCAACAGCAGCACCAAGGCCCTCAGCAAGGAAATCAGCAAGGTTCACCCCAACAAGGAGGCAGACCACAAGGACCTCCCCAGGAACAGCGTCCTCAGTAAGCAAAGGTACATTGTCAGGTAGGATTTGTGTTACTTTTGATGAAAAACCATATTCCTACAGTTTTGCATTCACAACATTCAATAACTCAACTTTAAAAAAATATTACATGGTTTGTGTTCTCAGTACTACTTGGATATTTTGTGGTGGTATTAGAAGATGATTTATGCTTCGTTTATTCCTCAAGTTTTGTGATCGTTAGGAGCAATGTACATGAGTATACGTTGGTTTTGGAAAAAAGAGCAATGTTCTCCTTAAATTCTGCTGCCTCCTTGCTCATGTCAGCATCTCTACCTGCTCACTACTTGCTTCTCTGGTACATGGAATCTTAATGCAATGCTCTTAAATGTTACCTTCAGTTTTAGAATATATTCATATTAGCATATACCCAAAATATAAAAATTTACTAGAAATCAAGACATCAAGTTAAATCTTTTTTTATTTTTAAAAAATTCTACCCCCTTCTCTCCTCCTATTTCCCTTCCCTTACTCCTTACCCCTCTCCACCCTCCCCCTCTTCCTCTCTCTTTAGTCCAAAGAGCAGTCAGGGTTCCCTGACCTAGGGAAGTCCAAGGTCCTTCTCCTTTCATCCAAATCTAGGAAGGTGAATATCCAAACAGACTAGGTTCCCATAAAGCCAGTACATGCAGTAGAATCAGAACCCAGTGCCATTGTCCTTGGCTTCTCAGTCAGCCCTCATTGTCAGCCACATTCAGAGAGTCCAGTTTGATCACATGCTCTATTAGTCACAGTCCACCTGGCCTTGGTGAGCTCCCATTAGATGAGCTCCACCGTCTCAGTGGGTGGGTGCACCCCTTGCAGTCCTGACTTCCTTGCTCATGTTCTCCCTTCTCCTACTCCTCATTTGGACCTTAAAAGCTCAGTTCATTGCTCCAATGTGGGTCTCTGTCTCTGTCTCCATCCATTGCCAGATGAAGGTTCTATGGTGATATGCAAGATATTCATCAATTTGACTATAGGTTAAGGACAGTTCAGGAGCCCTCTCCTCAGTTGCTCAAGGAACAAGCTGGGGACATCTCCTTGGACACCTGGAAACTCCTCTAGAATCACGTATCTTGCCAACTCTAAAATGGCTCCCTTAATTAAGATATCTACTTCCCTGCTCCCATATTCACCCTTCCTCCATCCCAACAATCCCATTCCCCCAAGCTCTCCCCATCGTTCCCTTCTTCCTTCTCTCTCCCCATCTCCCCTTACCCCTATCCCACCCCTACCCCCAAGCTCCCAATTTATACCTGGTAATCTTGTCTACTTCCAATATCCAGGAGGATAACTATATGTTTTTCTTTGGGTTCACCTTCTTATTTAGCTTCTTAAGGATCATGAATTATAGGCTCAATGTCTTTTATTTATGGCTAGAATCCACTTCTGAGTGAGCACATACCATATTCATCTTTTTGGGTCTGGGTTACCTCACTCAGGGTAGTGTTTTCTATTTCCATCCATTTGCATGCAAAATTCAAGATGTCATTGTTTTTACCACTAAGTAGTACTCTAATGCGTGTATATTTCACATTTTCTTTATCCATTCTTCCATTGAGGGGCATCTAGGTTGTTTCCAGGTTCTGGTTATTACAAATAATGCTGCTATGAACATAGTTGAACAAATGCTTTTTTAGTATTATAGGACATATTTGGAGTTGTTTTTAGATAATTACCATTTACCAAAATTAAATCAAGACCAGGTGAACAATTTAAATAGTCCTATAAGTCATGAGGAAATAGAAGCTGTCATAAAAAACCTCCCAACCAAAAAAAGTCCAGGCCCTGATGGCATTAATGTAGAATTCTATCAGAACTTCCCAGAAGAGCTGATACCTATAGTCCTTAATGTGTTTCACATAATAGAATCAGAAGAGTCATTGCCAACCTTTTTTTATGAAGCTACATTCACCCTGATTCCAAAACCACACAAAGATCCAATCAAGAAAGAGAATTACAGACCAATCTCAATCATGAACATAGATGCAAAAATTCTCAATAAAACTCTGGCAAACAGAATCCAAGAATACATTAAAAAATTATCCATTATGATCAAGTAGTCTTCATGCCAGAGATGCAGGGCTGGTTCAACATACAAAAATCTATCAATGTAATCCATCATATAAATAAACTGAAAGAAAAAAAACATATGATCATTTCATTAGATGCGAAAAACGCATTTGACAAAATTAAATCTTATAAGTATATGTGATCATCTCTCCTCAGTACCACCATCATTAAAGGCTTTCACTAATTCATCAACACTCAATTAGAAACACATACACACAGACAGATTTTTATTATTTTTTATATCTGCACATTATACTTGTATTAATTAAAATTTTATTTTAGATTAGCTAATAGCTTGTCAGTGAATTTTCAAGGTGGTTTCAATATTTTACTAGTGTAGGATGAGTCTCTGTAACCATCTTTCTATATATGTCTTATAATTTGCATGATTTTTCTGAGACATCATTAGTATAGCCCAGGCTGGCTCCAAACTTGCTCTGTGGCCCTGTATGCTCTTGAATTCCTGATCGTCTTCTTTCTTTCCTCAAGTTCTCTGATTATAGGTATATGTCATAATCACCAGTTTATGATGGAATGCTTTCAGACTAAAGCAATATATGCAATAAAATATATTTTCTATCTACATCATTTACATTGCTAGTAATGGATAAAGAAACTTCATCTTATTATACTTTCCTATAACTTTCTTTTGTGTTTGTTTCTTTCAGAAAATTAGTAAGAAGATAATGACTTTGCTGCATTGTTCAACGGGAATAATGTGATCACATTTTATCTTCTTAGAACCAATAAAATCTCAATTATGCAATTTCTGACTCTTGTCTCTATTTTTGGCTGTAGGTTAGTATAGATAGAAATTTTTGTCCCACCTAGTCCCTCATCATTTAGTCCCAAAGAAAGACACATAACCTGTATTAATTATAAATTAATTGTTTAGCCTATTTGTTTAGTCCTCTCACAACTTAAATTAACCCATAATTCTTTCTATGTTTAGCCATGTGTCTTGGTAACTTTAATCAGTGCAGCATTCTCATCTTGCTACCTCTGTATATGGCTAGTGACTGAATCATTGCTTTTCCTCTTCCCATGATGTGGAATTCTTCCTCTGTATGCTGTGACTACCATTGGTAAATAAAGTAACTGCCTTGTCCTGTTGATAGGGTAGAACAGAGCTAGTCAGGGGAAAGCTAAACTGAATGCTGGGAGAAGGAAGGCAGAGTCAGAGAGAAACCATGTAGCCCTGCCAGAGATAGATGCTGAAATTTGCCAGTAGGCCACAAACCTCGTGGTAAAATATAAAATACTGGAAATGGGTTAATGCTAGATGTAAGAGCTAGTAGAAATATGCTTAAGTAATTGGCCAAGCAGTGATTTAATTAATAAGTTTCTGTGTAATGATTTCAGGGCTGAGAACTGGGAACAAACAAATACCCTCCTTTCAACATTCCCAGAATACACTTAGTCAAGTTGCCCCACCTATACTTACTACCTCGCAACTGGCCAATCAGGTTTTTATCAAACCAATACAAATGGCAACTCTTTATAGGGTACAAAAGCTTTATCCCAAAGCATGTTAGTCTGAAACCTGAATACTTTATACACAATTTTTAACTACCCAGGACCATATGGCTTAGATGCTTCTACCGTTCTCTCTTCCTGTGTCCGCAATCCAGCTGACAGATGAAGACAATTCCATTATATCCACAATTGTCATCTTCTATGAAAAATACAATTTGTATATGCATATGGTATATACATATATATGCCACATACATATGTCATAAAACTTCAATAAATATTCCTGTACTTTAAAAATAGAAAATACAGAATAATTTTCAAGGGTGTTTACAAATAGATATATCATTTCCAAAATAATCAATTTCATTTTCTTAGATTATTGATGTGCCTTCACACATTATTTTTCTATAATATATTATACTTTAGGGCTGTAACCCATTTTGTATTGGATTATTTGTTCTTTTGATGGCCAATTTCCTGAGTTCTTTGTATATTTCGAAGATCAGTCCTCTGTCTAATGTGTGGTTGGTGAAGATCTACCATTCTGTAGGCTGCTATTTTGTCTTGTTGATCACATACCTTGCTTTACAAAAGCTTCTTAGTTTCAGGAGGTCCCATTTATTAATTGTTTCCCTCAATGTCTGGTTACTGGGGTTATATTTAGGAAGTGACTTCTTGTGCCAGTGCATTCAAGTGTACTTCCCATTTTCTCTTCTATGAGGTTCAGTGTGGTTGGCTTTATGTTCAGGCCTTTGGTGCATTTGGTCTTGCGTTTTAAGCATAGAGATAGATATGGATCTATTTTATTTCTTCTACATGTTGATATCCAGTTATTTCAGCACCATCTATTGAATATCCTTTCTTTTTTGTTTTATATTTTTTTTTTGCTTCTTTGTTAAAAATCAGGTGTTTGTTTTGTGTGAATTAATATCTGGGTCTTCGATTCAGTTCCATTGGTTCTGCTGTCTGTTTTTATGCGAATAAAATTTGGGGGGTCACTTATGCAAATAGTGAGAGTTTAACTTCTTTTCTGATTTGTATTTCCTTGGTCTCCTTTTTTTTTGTATTATTGCTTTAGTTAGAACCTTAAGAACTCTATTGAATAGATATGGAGAGAACCTTGTCTTGTTCCTGATTTGAGTGGGATTGCTGTTAGTTTTTCTCCATTTAGTTTGATGTTGGCTGATAGCTTGCTGTATATTGCATTTATATTTGTATTTCTGATCTTTCTAAGACCTTTATCATGAACGGATGTTGTATATTGTAGAAGGCTTTTACATTTAAACAGGGATATGCTATAGAGATTTGTATTTTTATGGATCTTCGTTTAGTGATACAAATTAAAGATAAATTTTGTTATACTATATATATATGTATATTTCTGCTCTTGATTAAGGTTTTGACTGTTCAGCTCTTTTAAAAATGTAATGTGTAATTAAGAAGTACAGGTTAATAAATAACCATCTATAATAGTCAAGCATGTAGTGATGTCAGTTAGATTTTTCTCATTGTACAGGGATGTATTTCAGATGAATAGGCATTCTTCATACCTTTCAAAGACAAAAGATATATCATTTAAAATATTTTAAGAACTTAGTACTTTTCATGACAATGAGACACATCTGCTCCTGGCAACACAAATATACTGCAAGAAGAAGATAGGCATCAAAGAGGTTTTTCATGGAGATTGATAGCCATTTGGGTAAAAAACTGCATTTGCCTGGAATGCTATAAACCGGACATGCAGGGCATGCAGAGAAATGACTGCTGAGCTTGTCTAAAGGTGAGAAGATCCTTTGGGGTTCCTGCTTCATTAAAGAATCTGCCAGACATTCTGTAAGACACAGAAGAAAGAGACTGACAAACTGACAATATAAGCACAACAGTCTTTGAAATTTCCTGCTTCATGGAAAAATCTGTTGGATACTATGGACCTGTAGGCTGAAGATAGATGCCCCAAAAGTAAAGAAACCCTTTGGGTTACTTTCCAGGCAGTGAAGTGTCTCTGTCAATTCTAGAGTTTTGGAGTTGCTTACAATGCACTTTGTGTTTACTTAGGTAATATTATATCCTTCTGGAGTTTTTGATTAAGTTGAGAAATGTATAGTTATAATTATAGTTTTTCTTAGGATTAAAAATGGAGTAGATATAAATACTGTAACTGTAATTTTTGCTTGATACCTGTTCTGTTATATGTAATTTTACTATGTTAAAGTTAAAAACCTTTCTTATTTAAACAGAAAAGGGAAGGTGTTGTGAGATTTCCCTCTGTATGCTATGATTATCATTAATGAATAAAGAAATTGCTTTAGACCTATAGGAGTCCATAAATTAGCTACGCAGGGAAAACTAAACTAAATGATAGGAGAAAGAAGGGTAGAGTTAGAGAGAAGCCATTGAGTCACCACCAGAAACTCCCAGGGCCAGATGGTTGTAGTACATAATTCTACAAGAACTTCCAAGAAGAGTTAATTCCTATACTCCTTAATGTGTTCCAAATAATAAAACAGAAGAGTTATAGCCAAACTCTTTTTATGAAGCTACAGTCACACAAAGACTCAACCAAGAAAGAGAATTATCGACCGATCTCACTCCTGAACACCGATGAAAAAATTCTCAGTAAAATGCTGGAAAACAGAATCCAAGAACACATAAAAAATCATTATGATCAATTGGGATTCATCCCAGAGATGCAGGGCTGTTTCAACATATCAATGTAATCCATCATATAAGTAAACTGGAAAAAAAAAACAGAAGATCACTTAAATAGATACTAAAAAAGCATTTGACAAAATTCAACACCTTTTTATGATAAAGGTCTTGGAGAGATTAGAGATACAAGTATCATATCTAAATATAATAAAAGCAATATACAGGAAGCCAACAGCTAACATCAAATTAAATGGAGAGAAACTCAAAGTGATTCCACTAAAATCAAGAAGAAGACAAGGCTGTCCACTCTCTCCATATCTCTTCAACATAGTACTTGAAGTTTTAGCAATAGCGATAAGGCAACATAAGGAGGTTAAGGGGATTCAAGTTGGAAACAAAGAAGTCAAACTTTCATTATTTGCAAATGATATAAGAGTGTGCATAACCAACCCCAAAAACTCTACCAGAGAACTCCTAATGCTGATAAATACCCTCAGTGATGTGGCAGGATACAAGGTCAACTCAAAAATATCAGTAGCCCTCCTATACATAAAGGATAAAGAAGCTAAGAGAGAAATCAGAGAAACATCACCTTTCACTATAGTCACAAATAGCATAAAGTATCTTGGGGGTAACAATAACCAAGGAAGTGAAAGATCTATTTGACAAGAACTTCAAGGCATTGAAGAAAGAAATTGAAGAAGACACCAGAAAGTGAAAAGATCTCCCATGCTCTTAGATGGGTAGGATCAACATAGTAAAAATGGCAATTCTACCAAAGGCAATCTATAAATTCAATACAATCCCCATTAAAATTCCAACAAACTTCTTCACAGACCTTGAGAGAACAATAATCAACTTTATATGGAAAAACAAAAAACCCAGGATAGCCAAAACAATCCTATAAAATAAAAGAACTCACAGAGCCATTACCATCCCTGACTTCAAACTCTATTGCTACAGTAATGACAACAGCTTGGCATTGGCATAAAAACAGAGATGTTGATCAACGGAATCTCATTGAAGACCCAGATATTAGCCCACAAATCTATGAACACCTGAATTTTGACAAATAAGCTAAAATTATACAATGGAAGAAAGAAAGCATCTTTAACAAATGGTGCTGGCATAACTGGATGTCAACCTGTAGAACAATGAAAATAGATCCATATCTATCACCATGCACAAAACTCAAGTCTAAATGGATTAAAGACCTCAATATAAATCTCATCACACTAAAGCTGACAGAAGAGAATGTGGGAAGTAGTCTGCATTACATGGGCATGGGAGACCACTTCCTACATATAACCCCAGCAGCACAGAAAATAAGAGCAACAGTGAATAAATGGGACCTCCTAAACCTGAAGAGCTTCTGTAAAGCAAAGGACACAGTTATTAAGATAAAAAGGCATCCTACTGAATAGGAGAAGATCTTCACCAACTCCACATCAGACAAAGGTCTGATCTCTAAAATATATAAAGAACTCAAGAAATTAGATATTAAAATTCTAAATAACTCAATTAAAAATGGGGTACTGAACTGAACAGAGAATTCTCAAGAGAAGAATTTCAAATGGCCAAGAGATACTTAAGGACATGTTCAATTTCCTTAGCAATCAGGGAAATGCAAATCAAAAC